ATCATGACCTGAGCCAAAGGAGGACGTCTAACTGACTGAGCCACCCAGGCACCCTGAAATGCTCTCCTTTAAAGAAGATTTGCATTTACTCTTGTTAGGATCCAGGGAGCACTGTTGGTTTAGGAACACTCTTGGAGGTTTAAATTTTAATATAGAATTTATCCTTTAGAGCCAACCCATGAGATCACGGTGGACAAGCCCCAGCTTCATATATGTGGCTGCTGGTCACTGATACTTCAGGACCAACTTTACATACTTAACATTTTTCTTAGTACTGATGTTTAGTTTCCAAGAACTAAGTACCATGACTATGATAGCATGCTTAAAAAAATGGCAGCCATTCTTCCTTGAAAAATCCAGGAGACTAGAAGACTAGTCAAGTGAGCTCTGTTCTATCTTCGGTGTTCTGGGGTTCCGGGGCACCATGGTGACAGCTTTAGGGTCTTGAGGGGAGAACTGGGTGTCTGTTCTACATGGAGTCAATTATAAATTTGTATGTGATCGATATTGTCTTATCTCCTTTGTTAGTGAGAAATAGTTAATAAGTGGCCTTTGTTAAAACATAACACATTTTCTGGGAATAAAAATTCATTTTTAGAATCCCCAACAAGTTCTGGAGAGCATTACAAAGAGCACATGAAGCATACCGTTTCAAGTCTTCATGTTAATGATGTTTGCCCGCCTGGGTTCTAAGTAATGACACATGTCGTCTATGTCCACTTGCAGTTTGAAAAAACTTACTGTAAGCTAAGAAGACTATTAAAAGATGTAGAAAACCAGATGGTTTCATTTATACAACTTTACATGAAAATAAACCAAGAATAGATTATTTTTTGTCATTTGGATATTTGCTTGTGCCTCTCCCCTATTTTTCCTAATAATAATTTTATGATTCATGAGTCAGTGTTAATGGCAGATTTTGTGTCTGGGTCTTGCCAAAGCAAAAGAACCTTGCGTACCTAACAGCAAGGAATCTGGTTCACCAGTCTCCCTTTCACATAAGCATGAACCTCTGTACTTACTTCCTATCCCCCTCCTCTTTGGCAGGGACGAATGTGGGTATTGAGTACAGATTGGGCTACATTCCCACTGACGCAGGAACTCTGGAACAAGCCTCTGGTGCTTGCATATGCAGTGTAATGGTAGTTCTAATTGGGCGTCATTTGGGATTCAGACACAACTGACCACATCTAGAAAAGCAATGGGGTGAGCCTCTTGAAGAGAGTGTGAGTACCTCCTGGGAGACAAATGAACCAAAGAAGTGAAACCAGGCATGATAACTGAGTCCCAGTGAGCAGGTCTAGATAGCGGGGCAGGTGATCCCCAGGTGCGAAAGCTCTGTCCTGATGTGTTTCCCTTTGTCCAGCCCACTTGCACTCACACCGGCCTTTGTGAGGGCTATATGAGTGAAGGCGGAGACAGATGGGACAGAGATTGCTTGCAAATATTAGAGCTGTGCCTTGAACATACCTCTTAAATCTAGCCCCTTGGCCTTCCACCTAGAAACCCAATCACTGCAACAGTTATCAAACCAGCAAAAGGGGTACCTGCATCCTCTTTAGCAAGACAGCATGCTGTGCAGAGAAGACCCCAGATGCCTTCCTGTAGTGTAAAGAAAGCCATTTCTGCCCCCAGTCAAGGCTTAGTGTGTGGTGGGAGAAGTGTGATCTGGTGGCTTAGACAGGGGTCAGCAAACTTTCTGTAAAGGGCCAAGAATATGTATTGTAGGCTTTGTAAGCCATATGGTTTTGGTTGCAACTACTCAACTCTGCTGCTGTAGCTGGAAAGCAGCCATAGACAGACCTTAAGGAAAGGGGTGTGGTCGTAGCACAACAAAACCCAGACTGCGGTGTGCCAACCCCTAGCCTCCAGGACGGATTCTGGAGCTACCCATCCCCGCACTGTCACTGGTGGGCAAGCTTCTGTCTGTGAAGTGTGCTCCGTCACTGACCATGTCTCAGGGTCCTCGTGAGGTTTGAATGCGGGGCAGGATGGGGTGGTGGTTAATGTCACTCCCTAGGTCTGAGATCGTAAGCAGGCACCGTAACTTCTCACTATCCCTTTTCCTTGACTGTATAATTGAGATCATGAAGATAACAGCTCTCACTATCTCAGGATTTGTTGTGGGGAAAATGAGCTGAAGTGTCTAATGCCATGCCTGGTACAGAGGTATTATGATTTCTGTCATGAAAGATGGTGCTGGAGAGGACACATGTGAGTGTTAGTTTAGGGAAACAAGCAGAGTGGGGTGAGGAGGTGGATGGTTTAGGACCCGTCAGGGGCTTTGAGAGCCCTGCCGGCCCAGGTGAAAGGCAGTGTGCCCTGCTCCACAGGAGGTTGCTTCGCTTGGCACTCGCAAGTCTCTCTGACGCCACGTGCCTGTGAGACTGCAGTCAAGAGAGACAACCTCTCCTGCCAGCAGCCATGTGCCCCCACAGCAAGACGAGCTGGCCCCGTGGCATAGCTGGTGGGTTCTTGCTGAGCCGAGGTGCCGGGTGGAGACCACAGGCAGAAAGTCAGGGATATACGGCCAGTAGGAGCCGAAGCAGGATGGAGTCGGCAAAAACCACTATGTGCCTTCAGCAGTACTTGGGCCAACAAAAGGCACCCACCGCTTTCACACCAAATGCCAGCAGAATATGAGGCAAATGAGAGGAAAAGGCTACTGCTTGAGAAGCAGAGGGCACAACTGGGGGTGCGTCCACCTGCCTCCATCACAGGGGGTGCATACCTCGGAGCATCTGCGGGAGCCACTCATGGTGGCAGGAGGAAGGAGGGAAGGCAAGTGTCTAGGTGGTTCCCCGGAGAGACTGACCTATTGGATTATACTTTAAGCTGGACAGAGGGACAAGACTGTTATCCTTTGCTAATCCCAACTTTTGAATCCCAAGGTTTATGAGGAAGATGGAATCAGTCTTGAGCCTAGTAAAGGGGATACATGTCCTCAGTTTATTCAATGTGAGTAAATTTTGTGTTTCTTCTTCACCACTTACACTAACACTTACACTAACATAAGTTTAGGATACAAATGGCAAGGCTTTGGGACTTTCCTGAGAGTAACTAACACAGAACAGAGAAGAAGGTGTTTCCATTAGGACTTGGCAACAAAGCTGCCTTAGGCTCTAGATCTCCAGGGCTTCTGAGCTCCAGCACCTAGGGGTAAACCTGTGGTGTAGACACAATCTTGCCCTGAAACATGGTCAGAAGTTATGGTGGCATTGTGTGGTTTCATGATGGTTGGTCCAAACTGTTTCTAACCTCCTATGAAACAGGCATCTTTGCAAGATTCCTTAACTCCAGTAAAATTTGTGTTTTGGTTGTTAACATGACCCTATCTCCATTCACAGGTTAGCAAGGCATCATATGTTATTCTGATGCTATAGTTTCATAATTATACACTTGGTGTGTGACGCGGTCCCTCTCCTTCCCTCTTCAGTGGTTCCTGAAGGGACTATGTGTGATGTAGAGGGTTCCTTGACCATTGGTGGAAACCATGATTAGTGTGTATTATCCATTGTTGGTCAGAGGGACTGAGGGTGTTCTATAGGAAACCTCACAGCATTCATGCCGCCACCCAAGCGGGATATGCTCAGAGCCTCAACTCTAAACATAAAGTGAATCTTCTCCTCAGAGGGGGTTTAAATTGCCATCTCCATAACCACAAATACATGAGAAATCTGCAAAGAGAACTCAAAACTCAAAAGGACCCAGCTACTAAGCCAAAGAAAAGAAAACTGAAACAAGACAGAGCCACCATCTTGAAGAGCAAACTATAAAGAAGGACAGACTGCTGCTCAAGTAATCTGATTAACAAGCTAGTATATAAACACCATACTTGGAATAAATATGTGAACAGTAGCCAAGAACTTTCTGTAATTTCTACTAAGAACCCAGGCTGAAATGATCAAAACCATGAGTTCCCCACAGCTGCCATTATAGTTACTGAACAACCCAAGTTCACCAGACACATTAATCCTCACTTAAATATGCACAGTGTAGATGGCCATACAATACGTTCACAGTGCTGGATGCAGTTCTCATTAAATAATCTAGAATCAGTCAAATCCTGAGTTACAGAAACTTTCTACAGATTTTTCTTGAGAAACTGGACTGAGTGGATTATACCTGAATATGAGAAATACATGTTTAATGGGAAATGTTTAAATGCAATACTACAAAGATAAGTAGGACTCTCTCCATTGTTTATTTTACTGGGGTCGATCTATGTCAGGGAATGCATCCAAGATCACCAGTGTGAGTAATGGAAGAATAGACAACACATGTGTGCTTAGCAGGCTGTCTCTTGATGGCGTGAATGTTTATTTTCAAAGGAAATTTCTCATGGCTTTTCTTATGCTCCAGGAGGAGCAGAGCCATGTCTCCCTTCCTCACAGAACTCCATACCTTGCTCCTGCTGGAGAGGACGTAGCAGGTTCTCAGTAAATGTTTGCTGATCAAACAACAGGAAAGAGGAGCTGCTTCATAAAAATGGGTCACAAGTTAGGCTTTGTAATTTTAAATCTGTACAAGTTAACTTTTAATGGAAATTCTGGGGCCTCTCCTGAAAGAAATTGGCAAAAGCTTGAATCCACAAAGATTTTGGTCCAAGTCAGTAACACCATGAGCCCCGAGCTTGGGTGTCCGTGAAGGGCAGTACTCCTCTGGGGGGAAGGGCAGACACAGATGAGACAATGATGGAAACATGCTGAGGGTCCTTCAACAGACTTCACACACGCAGCACTGAGCACACAGTCCTCAGATTGTCCCCACACACCCACAGCCGCTCATGCAGGTCCCTGCTCCAGACAAGGGGAGTCTCCAGCCCGGCGCCCTTGTCCTCGGCCCTCGGGCCCCAGACCCTGGAGCCCGCGGAGTGACCGGCTCCCTGCTGATGGCTGGGCCTCTACCTCTTCTGTTCTAACCGTCACATTTATGGGAATTCAGATTAAAAGGAAAATTGCAAGCAGAAAAAGAGGTTAGAAAACCTTCACAGGGTTTACCGATTTTACTCTGGGCTTTATCACAGGCGTCCTCCGTGCCAGATCATGTCAGCTCTTGGAAGACCATCCGAACTCTTTACAAACTGCAAACAGAAGAGGGGAACAACGCACACTTTGTTCAGGTCATTTTGAATTTGCTTCAAGTGAACGCAGCATCCTGCTTCTTGGTACGGAACACACGCCAAACTTGTAACTTGCCAGAGCTCACCAGAGAAAAATGGGACTCTTGTCTCTCGGCCCCCTGGCATTTGGGCGTAGATTTATGATGATCTCCGGATTTCTCCTTGCTCCTTCTGCTGGTGTTGAGAGCGTGAGTGATGAGCGTTGGTGATGTGAGGGTGATGAATGCATCAGGGAGGAGGGTCCCTGCCAGCGCCCCAGCATGCATGTGCTACCCGGCATGGCCTGGGGCCGTGGAAGTGACCTCCAGGTCACTCACCAGAATTGGCACAAAGCCCAGCTCGGTTCTCGGCAGCCTGGCAACCAGTTGTGGACTCGCCCTTCCCCCCAACCAACGAGATAGTATTGAGTCATCGGATTACAAAATATGCTGAAATTTCCAAGCAATTATATCAGAACTCCATAACAGAATGGATTATGAGATAATCCAACTCAAAACACAGAAGATTTCTTTTTTTAATACAGAAGATTGAAATTCTATTTTACTTAGTGGTTGTAAAGGATCTCCCTGATTGGCTTTCTTTTATGAAGCATTTATTTCATGGTAGAAAGAATACTAGCTCACAAATCAGATGAACCTGATTCAGTGTATTGGGAACTTAGTTTAATACTTGTGAGATAATAGGAAAAGAAAAAAATATCTATATGTATAGGTCTCTGACCCTCAGTTCCTGGCACAGAGCTCCTAAAATCCTTGTGAGTTCCTAAGGGATAAGAGAACTGGGAGCACCTCCTGTTCTAACGAGGTGACTCTTGGGGGGCAGGGGCTCCTGGATGAGGCATGGTCACCAGAAAGAGCCGCCTGAGTTAGAAGCTTGGAGTTTTGAGCCCCACCCCCAACCTCCAGAGAGGGGAGGGGGCTGGAAATGGAGTTAAGGATTGATCACCTGTGTAAAGAAGCCTCCATAAAATCCCAAAAATACAGGATTCAGGAGCTTCCAGGTTGGTGAACACATCCACCGTCCACACCGGGAGGGCGAACCTCCCAAACCTCGCCATATGTGCCTCTCCATCGGGTGCTCGTCTGTGTCCTTCATCACGTCCTTTAACAGACGCGTCAACTGGGGGCACCTGGGTGGCTCAGTCGGTGAGGCGTCCGACTCTTGGTTTCGACTCAGGTCGTGATCTCAGGGTCCTGAGGCCAAGCCCCACACTGGGCTCCCAGCTCAGCACGTTCGGCGGGAGTCTGCTTGGGATTCTCACTCCCTCTGCCTCTGCCCCTCCCGCTCGTGCTCGCTCTCTCATTCTCTCAAATAAATAAATAGATCTTCATAAAAACAGACTGGTAAACTGGTAAATAAGCGTTTCCCTGAGGTCTGCAGGTCGCTCCAGCAAATCCGTCAAACCCGAACGGGGGGTGTGGGTCCCTCCAGTCTGCAGCCGGGTTGCACAGAACCTGGGGGACCCGCAGACCCACTGCTGTGGCCGGCGTGTGAAGGGGATGCCGTCTCCTGGGCCTCGGCCCCTCGCCTGTGGGGGCTCCAGGCAGACAGCGTCAGAACTGGGTGCAACCGTAGGGCACCCGGCTGGCGTGCTGCAGGCTGCCCGGTGTGGGGGGGACACCGCACGCGTGGGGTGACCCGAAGGGCCAGAGGCGAGGTGTTCCGTGTGAAGGCAAAGGACACTCACACGGGAGCGAGAATGGATGTTGTTTTCCTGACACAGGTGGGAAGATTAAGATTTTTTCAACACAGGACCCAATTCCAGTTTCCCCATGTGTGCAAGGAAGTAAGAAAGCTTACACACTTCTCATGTTCTAAACAGAAATTCCATTTAACGAGAACACAGAATCCAGAAAAACCTTAAATCAGAGCCCCGAATGGCATCAGAATTACCTGGGTTGCTTGAGAAAATGCAGATTCCCGAGTTTCCTTACAAGTCTTAGTTTTTAAAGAGGAAACTAAGTAATTTTTTCAAATAAATACATTTATAAAGAAATGTTGATTCTCCTTACCCTTCAATAAAAGTCTCAACAATGTTAGGGTACCGTTGTTTCTTAAATAAGTCACTGAACTGTAGCCGACACTGTTGAGATTTGGTGGACTAAGTCTCTTCAGTGATTTAGCAAACCCGAGGAAGGCGAAGTTCCCCTTGTTCGCCTCCGGCATTTAACTTGGCGCCGTGTCTGTCCAGAGCCCGGAGAGCATGCCCACAGGCTGACGGGGAGCTGGCGTTCTGCATGCCCGCCTGGCCCAAGGGGAACGCGCTGGACCCCACAGGCAGGAGGCACGTAGCTGTGGTCCCATAATCCAGCTGGGTTAACGCCGAAGCCCCCGTCCCTCCGGAGAACCCAGGCCTGCTCTCCCAGCCACGACTGAGACTCACCTCTTCCTGAGGATGAGAAGGTGAGAAATGGAAGTGACCCCCACCTACAACTTAGCAGTTTGCTTCTAAATTTACACAGCAGTTCTCAGGATTCTGAAGATGAGATTTCCAGGTCAAAATCGTGTCTTTTTCCAAACTTCTGAGTCCCAGGAAAATCACTCTATTTCTTATTTCTCTTACAGGACCATCCTGATTGCAATCTTTTCACATCTTTTAAGATGTCTGGAACACTATGTCATTGTTAGTATTAGTTACATCAAATAGAAGAAGTTTTCAATCCGTGTGTCAAAGCATGGATCAAGATTTACATACGTTAATGTAAACTTCATAAATACTCTGAGAAAAATGGAAGAACACAGATCTAGAAAAATAAAGGTAGGTAATTTGAGCAATATGCACTTCAAGTGCAGGGATCTGGGCATGTGACTCCTGTGTGAGCCTTTGCACACACATGGGGCCAGGCGTCACACAGACATGGTGCACACAGGGCTGGCCCGGACCACTGACCGCTGAAAGTAAAGAAAATAAAATTGGGCACTGGCCCTGTTTCCCTTACCTGTTAATTACAATTTATAATTTACTTTGGTTTTGAAATATGTTCCTGTGCCTTTGAGTTTCTACCAGCATGTTTGTCATGCAGGATCTCACACTCGTCACGAATCTGGCTTCATCTGGATCACTTCTTTCCTTCTATATTCCGTAGACTTTGCATTTGATAAATATTCATTGAACACTTACTATGTTTGGTTATTGCTTTAGATATTAAACACAAAAATAAATTAGACATAAACCCGGCCCTCAAGAAATTTCCAGCTGAGACATATAAAAAAAGTGCTATATGAGGGTTTTAGAGGGGAGGAGGTAACAGGGTGATGGGCATTAAGGAGGGCAAGTGTGGTGATGAGCACTGGGTGTTATACGCAACTAATGAATCACTGAACACTACATCAAAAACTAATGATGTACTATATGTTGGCTAACTGAACATAATAAAAAAATTGCAAAACCCAATTAAAAAAAAGTGCTATATGATGGAAGAGCAAAACAGAACAGCAGTTACTCCAGATGTTACTCCAGATGTTACTCCAGAAGGTGCGGGAGGGGGCGTTGCTGTAGAGATGGGTCCTGATGAGGGTTGACATTGATGTGGAAAGAACAGCATGAACTCGTGGGGACAGACAGGGCGAGGGAATGCACCCGGTTGGCAGTGTGGGATGGGTGTTGTGGGTTCACAGGTAAGGACTTGGGGGCCAGCCTAAGGGGTTAAATATAACTCTGCATTTGGTGAGCCAGCAGTGATGGACCCCAGGCAAGCAGATAGCAGATTTTATTTGTATTTTTAAAAAGTCAATTAAGCATGTAGGGGAATAGGTCTGCAGTGGTTAATTTTATGTGTCCACTTATCTGGGCAAAACCAGAGAATATGTGAATAATGGTGTACTCATTCATGCAATGATATACAAAAATAAAAATAAATAAGCAATCTCTGTACACTCGATGTGAATTAATCTCACAAGTGTTTAATATAAAAGCAAGTTATAAAAACATATAGTGTAAGATTCTGCTTATATGTATATTTTTAAAGCATGTAAGTCGATACCAAATACTGTGTAAGACTCCGTACGTGTGTAGTGAAATAGGAATGAATGTTTGGGAAGGATTGTCAGTTCGTGCGATGCTCACTTCTGCGGCGGGGAAGGAGGCCTTGCTCTGATGGTGTTGCTGATATTTTATTTCTTCCACTGGCAGCGAAGTACGTGAGTATCCATTATCTTATTATTTATACATTCTTCATGATATTCCATCACACCTGTGAAATAAATACTGTTAGTCACGGGGGCAGGAGGCGCCGCTATGGCGGAGACACTAATAAATGAGGAATACATAGAAACGGGTGATATGATCTTAAATGAAAAAAATGGGCTACAGTTTTTAATGTATGCATGAATGTAACACTGTTTCAAAGTATGTATTGGAAACATTTTCAAAAGAAATACCACAAAACTAAAAGAATATTGAGGGGTTTTTTGTTTGTTTTGAATTTTAAAGAAAGGCAGACGGCTACATGCAGCGCCTCGTTTGGACGCGTCTGGAGTCTTGGAAGCCTGACTTCCTCCTACAGCTGGAGCTTGAGGGCTCGTTCGGAGGTTCTAGCAGCTGAGCGCAGTCACTCATTACCCTTGACTGAAGAACAGTCCTCCTCTATGGAGAAGGTCGTCGGTGTTGACCGCGTGCACAGCTTCCGGAGGGACCCACAGGGATCGGGGAGGGAGGAGGGGGGACACCAGCCTAGCTAGTCAGATCAGCCAAGTCAACCCTGTGACTTGTGACAGACGTCGCAGGCAGATCGCCCTCATATCCAACAGTCTTTATTTTTTTTTTATTCTTTTTAAAGATTTATTTATTTATTTTAGAGCAGGGGAGGGGCAGAGGGAAAGGGAGAGAGAGTCTCAAGCAGACGCGAGACTCAGCGTGGAGCCGGACCCGGGGCTCGATCTCACGACCCTGAAATCAGGACCTGAGACGAAACCAAGAGTCGGATGCTTAACTGACTGCGCCACCAGGTGCCCCAATAGTGTTTTTAATATAGCACAATAATGGTCCTTTGTGTTTTCATTTTGTTACCTTTTTATAACTGCATTTCTTAAATATAGTATGCTGCTAGGTTTTCACAATTTGTTTACTGGCACAAGATGAGAAATAGCCAATAAAATAGTTGAACTAAGTAACTTTAAAAACATCAATTACGTGTGAAACATAGGCAGCCCCCTTTCCCGGGAGATACCAAGGAGAACTCAGCCCTAAGGAGATTTCACCCCGTCGTCTCGTCCTGAAGAAGCCGGACACGTGCTGTTCTCTTGGGCCCTTATTTCTTTGCTCCATAAAACCCA